GTGGCTTTACTGCACAATGAATGATTTTATACCATGTTATAAGAGAACTGAATGTATTATTATTTGGGAAAAAATAATTAATGACCAATTTATTTCAATTTATTTTTTTCAAAGATAACAGATGGGCAAGCTTCCAGCAAGTTTACTTAAGCATTAAATCAAAGACAGAGAAAAGACTTTCTCTTTAAGCACCCTCTTGAAGAGCTGTTTTTTTCCTCCAAAGTCTATCCGTTGACTAAGTAGATCCCAAATCAGACACTAGGTTTGGCGTAGAAAGGATATCATTCACCATGAAATAGTGAACAAAAATTTGAATTTGTCAAGAACTAAAGAGGTGACACTGAATGTATCTTTTAAATTCAGATCTTGATTCTGGCAGAAAATCTTGGCATGAACCACTATAAATGTTTCCTGTTCAATAATGGGATATTCAATAGCTACTCAATACCTACTACGAACGAATATGCAGCACAAAAATTATTATTTCTGGCCAGGCACAGTGGCTCACACTTGTAATTCTAGCACTTTGGGAGGCTGAGGCAGGAGGATTGCTTGAGCTCAGGAGCTGGAGACTAGCCTGAGCAAGAGCAAGACCCCGTCTCTACTAAAAAAATGGAAAAATTAGCCAGGTGCAGTACCACATGCCTGTAATCCCAGCTACTGGGGAGGCTGAGGCAGGAGGAATGCTTGAGCCCAGGAGTTTGAGGTTGTAGTAGGCTATGATCATACCACTGCACTCTAACTAGGGTGATAAAGTGAGACTCTGTCTCAAAAAAAAAAAAATTATTTCTGCAATATAGTTACAACAGTATAGCACAAACCGCAGAGCCTTTACTAATACTCCTAATTCTTGATAAACCCAGAGGTAAAGGAGGATAGTGAAATAAAGGAGGTCATACATTTTTCCTAGTTTCTAAGAAGAATAAAACAGAGGAAAGACTGAACCACTTAGCATTGAAGCCAAAGGCTGGCTAAAACTAGTCACTCAGAGCCAAATGGCAGATAAAAATAATGCTGCTATTTAGCATGCTCAAGAAAGAGAACATAATTATTTTGCCTTCTTAAATGGACCTGGACTAAAGACCAGGACTTACACCAAAAGTAACAAACATTAGTGTAGGACATGTGCTCTTGTATGTCAGGCAAAGTTATTTGGCTGTCACAGTCATGATTCTGGCATCATTTCTTTTTTCTTTTTCTGAGACAGGGTCTCACTCTGTCACCCAGGCTGGAGTACGGTGGTGCGATCGTAGCTCACTGCAGTCTCCAACTCCTGGGGTCAAGCAGTCCTCCTGCCTCAGCCTCCCAAGCAGCTGGATTACAAGTGTGTGTAACCACACGTGGCTAAATTTTTTATTTTTATCTCTGTAGAAATAGGGTCTCGCTATGTTGCCCAGGCTGGTCTTGAACTCCTGCCCTCAAGAGATCCTCCTGTTTTGGCCTCCCAAAATGCTGAGATTACAGGCGTAGCCACCACATATGGCCTTAACACCTTTCTTAAAGAATTAAACATA